CAAACTAAAGAAAGTATAATACAGGATAATATGTACTTATTTCCTTTACACTCTTAAGCAGGATACTTTACTAAAGCAAAGTATCCAAACATTATTAACATTATTTACTGAATTTTTATTTGTATGCATGTAGAATCATCCCATTTTCAGTTGTACCAGTTACTGTGGGATATCTTGTATAGATAATAAATGTTAATGAAAATCATAATACATAATTATGAATATACAAAATGTTTGACTGTAAAGAGCCAACACATACAGTGAGTGAAATATATTAAATGGAACTTTAGGAAGTGAAGTATTATGCACTAAAAGAACTAAATTACATATTTTGTGTTATACAAAAACCACAGTGCACAATGTAGTCAATGAAAGTGAAGAAAAAGGAAAAATGGAGAAAGCTATTGCAAACAGGGAAAAGAAACTTAGAAGTTTGCATGCTGACCATGTATGAGCATCATAATTAAGTTCCTTCTTGAGGCTTGTAGTACAAATGATGAGCATTTGTCTACTTCCTTCCCTAGAATATAAATTAAAAGCGTATACCACTGTATAGCATGCATAATAAAGAAAACAATTATATGAATGACACTATTTATATTATATAAAATATGGTAATTAAATTGTTCACACATTCAGTCAGTATTCTAAAAGTTTGTTTTGTTATCATAAAAACAAAACAGCAGCACTTTATAAGTTATATTTAAAGTCTTGTAACTTATATTACTTTAAAGCAATTAATTAAATTTATTTTAATTTAACTGTAGCTTAAAAGTAATAAAAATAAAAAGGTTTAAAAACTATTGAGTATGTTTTAATATTTAACTCTAAGATGTATAATTTTTTATTATATCCAAGATTGGAGAAATTTATGTTATTCATATTAGTGCTACAAAAAAAACTGAAGAAATTAAATGCATATATGAATAGCAAATAAGTAAGAAATAGAATATCCTGTTCAATAAAAATATAAAATACAAGTTTGAACAAAGATTAGTAATGAAATTCTTTGTTTCTAATAAAATAGTTGAAATATGAAAAATTCTTGGAATGACTTTATCATGTAATAATGACATTTTTTGTTCCTACTATTGTTGGCAAACAGAAAATAAATTTAGAGTATTTATATGTATTTACAAAATAGTAATATGAAATTTCATGATGAAATTTAAAAAAAAAAGAAACCATCACCAATGAGTGATCAATGCATAACCCATCTCCAAATACCAGTCCAACAGAAACACTATTTAGATTAATAATACTATTAAATGATATATTGATTTCCATATATACTTAAAAAGAAGCTATCACATTTAAGTAGCACAGAATGCAGTTGAGAATATATTTAAAAGTAAAAGGAAAAATGTCATACCTTTTTAGATGCAGCTCCAACTTTACTCTTCTTTGTACCCCTAACTTTCTTCATCCTGTTCTTACGTTCTTTACGCTGTTTCCTTGTTTGCTTTTGTTTCTCATATAGTCCATGCCTTGCTAACCTATATTTAGGTTCAAATTTCTTAGCAAAGTCTAATGTGTCGTAGACCAGTGCAAATCCAGTAGATTTACCACCACCAAAGTTGGTTTGGAAGCCAAAAACAAAAACTACATCTGGAGTAACTTTGTACATTTTGGCTAGTTTTTCACGTATTTCAGTTTTACGAACTGATGGATGGCTTGGATGAAAAACATCTACAACCTGGAACAAAACAATTAATAATACAATTAAAAATCATCCATAATTAATGATCTTGACTTCATAAGCAACAGAAAGAAATAAGAATCGTAAAACATTGAAGAATAGATGATGTAGATACAATGTAAATACGTACCATTTGTTTTCGGCATAATAGCCGATTGCTCATGAACTTTCTGGTTCTAATCGTAACTGTACCCTCCGTCTGCAAACAAAAATAACAGAATTGTAAGGTTATGTTTGATTTACCATTTACTTAAAACTGTTTCATTTCGAATAATAGCATTAAAAACAAATTAAAATATTTGATTCTACGATGTAATTCGTATAATAAGATCAAATACTTTATTTACATCTTTACTGACATGTTAACAGCATGTACACTATTGGCTAGCAGATTCATGTCACAATAATATTAGTAATACATGTTCATAAAAACAGTATTTCTAAATTATATTTGTAAAGGATAAATATTAAATCATCATTAATCAACTTTCAAGCAAATATTTCATGTTTCTTTCAATGATTAATTCTCAGTTTTGGGATACGAAATACATACCATTTTACTTGATTATTGTACCGCCAGTAAAAGGACAGTTACGGAAACGTGTGGCGCTATCTATACTCGAGTTATTTTACAACTAATATCTTCACGCAGCTAACAAAAAGTTTTATTCATTTTCATTCAGAAGTAATTTTACAATCGAAATTTTAATTTTTATATATGAGTAAACGAGATTACATCAATTATTTATTTGAAGCAATGCAACGTAACTTCAACATAAAACGAAATAATTTGATATTGCTTCCTGTTTAGGAATTATAAATATATAACGATGAATTTGTGAAGTTACGTTTTAAACTTAATTAAACAATTGTGGCTGTCCAAAGGTAATGCAAAGAATAAAAAAGTGATTTCGACTTCATTTTTTAGTACTTTTAGATGTATGAAAAATGTACTGTTACAACTAATCAAATGTACTTGTTTTTACATTCTTTTAAATAAATTATTAGTAAGAGTATATTTAAATATTATTATACAACAATAAATAAGTGATATAATAACTACTAAATAACTACCACATTTATTTTTATTTATTCATTTAGTATGCAATGTTTTATCGACAGAGCGAAGGAACACGTTCTTACGAAGTTCTTAGGAAGACCGTAATTGCATTTAGCGTTGGCTGCAGTGTTCCATCTATCTGATTGGTTCTCTTTGGACGAACGTCCATTACTCTTCTAGGAAGTTTCGAGAACGGGTACGGGCAGTCATATTGGTGAGAATTCTATGCGTTTACAACAGTTCGTCAAATACTATTACGTGGAACGAGACGAGCGTTTACGGCACGCGAATATTTCCCACGAGCGTTTTTCTTTCTACTGATACAGGTAGGATTAAACAGTAAATCCAGTGGTTATAAGAATATATTAGAAAATATGCGCAGACGAATAGAATTTTCGTCATTGAACGTTGCGATCGATTGCGAGCTTGTGAATTTTTCTTGGGATAGAAATTCGCGTAGTATTAACATGCAGAATCAAGTCACGGTAGAACGTTTCGAGCTACTGAGGAATACATAAGCATGATTTCAACGTAGTTTCGGCAATTTTCAAACTTCGAGTGGACGTTTGAAGGTTGAATACTAGTTCCGTATACGATTAAGCATATTGAATATTACGAAATACGAGTCAATTAGTTTTATCGTGCTACTAGCTGTGGTGCGTGCCCGTGACTCGCACTTTAACGTTGAAAAATGGTGGATTCCCTATTCTTTACTCGTGTCAATACGAAAAGCGGTTGAAGTTTTAGACTATATCTGTCACCTGGGGTACAGATAATCTTATATTATTTAGTTTTATTTCTACAGTTTCAATTATAAGTCGATATTTATTTTTCGTTTTGTTATAAATACTGTTTTAGAGCATTTGCCCTTTTCTTATACGATTTTAACCGGCAGACAAATTTTCATTGTGATACATACTTGTACGTATATGTATGTGCATTATTGAAGAGTCTACAAAGTGTTTGTGTTCTTTGTTCATGGCACGACGAATAGTGCGTTATACCGAAACCACGTTTCAATTTTCTCTTCCGTATCAATTAGCAACATTTTCCTGCCTCAAAATGATTCCCGTCGCCATTTTGAAACCAAAGACGCACATGGATATAATGTACTAGATATTTCAGCGAACATACAATTCATTCGTTTTGAGGTTTAATAGATTACGGAATGCACGTTTAACATTGTCTTTCTTACAAAAAGTACTGATTTTGTAACTTTTGCACCTTGAACGTATACCTTTAATTGCGCTGTATGTTTATTAAAATTAGAAATACTTAAGATTCAAGGTCACTACATGCAATTCCATTTTTGAATCAAGTATATGTATAGTACATTCAGATATTGACGTGAATTTGGATAACAAAGGAACTTTTTTTGGATATTGTACATATAACAGGCACGACATAAGATGAGTTAGATTTTAAAATTCTATCTGTATTCGTATTGAACATTGATACTTAACGAATTTTAAAGTTAAATAATGATTAGTTTGTTTATTATTTGCAAACCAATTTATACAAAAAATTTCATAATTTAAATAACATTTCAGGTATAGAATATATATCTAACAGGAGAACTTGCTTACCAATAATTTAACACTAAATATCTATGTAATACCTATTTTTTTTAAGAAAGCATAGCTACTAAAGATGGCTAAATTCACTAGATAAAATAAAGTTTTTTTGTATTTTTTAAACATATCTCCACATTATGGGACTATATTATACATGTACATTTCTCAACTGGTAAAGTAACAAATGATTTCCAAATTCTGTTCTTCTTGTGTAAATTAAAAGTCATACATAAAGATGATATAAACATTGTTGCTTGTTTAGTATTTTCTACTAAAATTTGCAATCATAGTAATATTTTCATTGCATTTTCTTATTATTAGCAGGACTGTAGTAGCCTAAGAATCAGTTTCATTCGCAAACGATAGGTCACAGTGAAAATGGTGAAGGAGACGACATTCTATGATATATTGGGCGTGAAGCCTGGGTGTACGCAAGATGATTTGAAGAAGGCATACAGAAAACTTGCTCTTAAATATCACCCTGATAAGAACCCTAATGAAGGAGATCGCGTTAGTACTCCTGGTTTTTAATGCAATATGATAAGTAATTGTTATTACATTTTAACCAACATATTATTTTTATTGTAGTTTAAACAAATTTCACAAGCATATGAAGTATTATCGAATCCTGAAAAGAAGCGAATTTATGATCAGGGTGGAGAACAAGCTTTAAAAGAGGGTGGTGGAGGAGGCAATGTATTCTCTTCACCTATGGATATCTTTGATATGTTCTTTGGAGCAGGTTTTGGTAGAAGAGCTAGAGGGAGAGAACGCAAAGGACAAGATGTTATACATCAGTTGTCTGTGTCACTGGAGGAACTGTATAAGGGTACTGTTCGCAAGTTAGCTTTGCAAAAGAACGTTATTTGCGATAAATGCGAAGGTAGGTAGTTTTAGCAGTGCTCACTGAAAATCTTGTTCAAAATAAGAAATTATTATATTCTTTTTTTTTTTTTTTTCAGGTATTGGTGGAAAGAAAGGTTCCGTAGAACAATGTACAACATGTCATGGATCTGGTATGCAAGTCCAAATACAGCAACTAGGACCAGGAATGTTGCAGCATCTTCAGACTATGTGTGTAGATTGCAAAGGGCAAGGAGAACGCATAAATTCTCGTGATCGTTGTAAACAGTGTGGTGGCAGGAAGACTGTTAGAGATAGAAAAATTTTGGAAGTTCGTGTTGATCCAGGCATGGTAGATGGACAAAAGATCGTGTTTAGCGGAGAAGGCGATCAAGAACCAGACTATGAGCCAGGAGATATTGTAATTGTTCTTGAAGAGAAGGAACACGAAGTGTTCAAGTCAGTATTATTTACAATTATTTTAATTGGATTGTATTATATTACGTGTATTTACTATTATTCTGTTTTAGGCGTTCGCGCAATGATTTGATCATGAGAATGCAGCTAGAACTGGTAGAATCTTTATGCGGATTCCAAAAGGTTATTACTTCTTTGGATGGAAATGATTTATTAATAACCTCACTTCCGGGAACCGTTACAAAACACGGAGATTTGAAGTGTATTTTGAACGAAGGAATGCCAGTTTATAAAGATCCGTTCACACATGGCAGACTCATAATTCAATTTGTAGTAAATTTCCCGAAAACCATTGACCCTGCTGTTATTCCAACGCTAGAAAAATGTCTACCTCCAAGGGAACAGGTTATAATTCCAGAGGGAGCTGAGAAGTGTATACTTACAGATTTAGATCCAGAACAAGAAGCAAGGCGAAGAGACCAGCGACAGGCGTACGAAGAAGACGAAGGAGGTCCCTCTCGAGTTCAATGTGCCACACATTAATTTGATTACATCAATGTCAATAAATATGGTCATTCTTTCATTTTAAACCCGAGAGAAATGTCTAGATATGTGCACGACTGTGAAAATCATAAGGAATCTCCACCGATTCTATCGCAAGTATCACATTAACACCTAATTGTATAGAAAGACCGTTGACACAGACGACGATTCATTTATCATCACGCCTGAATTAAACTATAAATTTTGGTGAAAATTAGTGAACTGTTTACGATTAGTTAATCAATCGCTTGCTGTAGAAAAATATTAAAAAAAGATGTACTTATCATTAAACAAAGTGATAAGAAAAGGTGAACTTCTAACGCGACATCATGTAACGTTAGTACTAACTGCAAACATAATCGATTATATCATGTAACGATAAACATTCGGATGACATTCTGCTATTTGTGAAATTATTTCTTTATAATTAATAATTAGCAGTTTCCAACACTGATTAATATGGGCATATTGAATGCTAGAAATAAAGTTAGACAGTCGAATGAAACTAGTACCTTGTCTATATTTGTGATTCCCTAAAGTTCTCTAAATTATTAGTATTTGATTATGCGAGCTTTCCGACTTTAGCTCAATGTGTATAATACTAATTTGATTATTACGAAAATAGTATGAAACATATTTAAAGATATGCATCTACGAAGAAGATTGAAAGTTAATATCTAATGCTTTTCATACTTTTTATTATAGAACTGTAGGTTGCTTTTCTCTTAAACGATTTTCTCTTATTCCATTACATGTAGTGTTTATCTTTTTTTTTATTTAGAAGATGTAATTCCATACTTTGAAATTGACAAAATATTTTAAGTTTATGTTCATAAATGGTACAATATACAGAAAACAATGTGGTTCCTGTATGTGTGAGTGGTCTGTTGCGTATATTTAGAATTGTTTAAAAATGGAATAAAAAAGGCGTACCAGTATACACTTATAATTCTAATACTGGAAATGAAACTAAAAGTATAATTAATTTTTTTTTATTTTATTTACCAATATTTACTGCAAGAAATTGCTTTTATATAACGTTTCTAAGTAAACGCGTTTCGTTTGTTTGCTTACAGCAACATTAATTAGACGCACGAACAAATGTCCATTTAAATGATCGTAAGTCTGTACTGTACTAAATTAAATACGTCTTCGATACATTCGCATAACTTACTTTATACGAGGTCATGTACTCGTCCGTAATTACTATATAGCGAATTTAAATAGACGTGTATTGTAATCTTATTTATTATAGATACATACATTGGTGATCGATTAGTACTTTTTTTAATCGTCTCAAATAAATTGGAAAAATGTAATGCGAAATACGTCATAATATTAATTTTCATCAAGTCTATTTAACCTTTGATCCTTTACGTGGATATTACCTCCTCATTAGTCGCTCCGTTATCGCTAAGAAATTATTTCCTTCAAAGCATAAAAACTGCTTTTTAAAATTACACGAAGGTATCATAAATAATAGTTTGCTATGGTTCTAGACATTATTGCTGTATTCCGCATTGATGGAAAAATATTAAAAAAAAAAAAAGAAAAGGTTGATTTATTAGGATGTTGCACTTGAACCGAATACACACACATACACACAAGTATAATTAACGTTGTCGTGAGATGCACAATGTTAACGTGCCTTTGAGTTGCGTAAAATTGCCTAACGATGGCGATATAATCGCGACAAGGGTCGATGTTTTTGTAACGTGCGTATATGAGTGCCCGAAAGCCAGCAGTCGAGATGCCGCAAAGGTTTCTGGGTATGCGGAGGGAGCCATATTTTTCCAATATCAGTTATGCGAAAACAGCGTACGCATAGCATCTGCAGAATGGAATTTCGTTCGGTAACCTGCGTAGAGTCTGTGTTTCACTAGAGGAATCAATTACGAAGCAGACGACAAGGGATCGGAGCAAGAAGACGAGACGATTGGGCTAGTCGGGAAATAATAAGCGTGCGTTTCCACGCGATCGAGAAGCGAGGTTCGGTGAAAACGATGAGCGCGGCCCGCGCAGGTGTTCGAGTCGAGAAGAGGGTTAGTTAACTTAACCCGAGTTCGTAACCGCGACCGGTGGTAGTGGTGGTAGTACTAGTGGCGGTGGTGGTGGAGGCAGCGGTGGTGGTGGTGGTGGTGGTGCTACTGCTGCTGTGACGATGACACAGCGTCATAACACGACGTACGTTCGTCCGTGCGATTTAACGCGAGTTGTTATGGCAGTATAAAGTGTTTTTGTACCGGAGAGTGCATTCGCGCCATTACCGATCGAGCGTGTCGTGTCTCGGTCACGATTAACCTGTGTGTATATTCAGTGTCAACGGAGATGGCTTTCTTGTTTAGTGTGTGAACCTGAAGATTTGGAGTAGCATATTTTTGGAGTGACAGTGGCTCACGATGACATAATTAAGTTCCCATTCATCGTTCCTTCGTCGATAAGTGAGTGCTTGTATGTGAAATGGAGTAATTGGGACTGTGACCGCGAAGAACGCGACCGGGACCGTGGCAATGACACGACGTCATCGTTGACTTTTTTTTTTTTAAGGTTAAATATTTCTCGCCTGCACGCGTCGCGTTTGTTTTCATCAAGGTCAATTCGAGAACGTTGCCCGTCGGCAACGTTTACAAAAATTTCCTGCTGCCGACTCCGTTTTCCGCTCGGAGCGTGCATGCGTTACGAATAACAGCGTGTTTCGGAGAGTTAGGTTAGTTCGATGCTTAGCCCCGTTGCGTAGTTGGACGCAACCGATTGGGCGAGTTGTCGCTTTGTGAATCGACCTTGCGAGTATCAGCGGAGACGTAATTTCCTAATAAACAAAGTTACGTGGCTGCGCTATGTCAAGCCGGTTCGGAGCATGAAAATAACAATAGTTTGACCTTGGTATTCTTCCAACCGTAAATCTCCGCGAATCGATTAAAGAAAATTCCGTGACAATTATTTCCAACGATAAACGTAAACTAACGTCCGCCGAGAGAACAATTTTTCGAAAGGAAAACGATTGCTTTCTTACGTTATCGAATCGTCCAAGAAGAAAAGAAGCAACGCTAACGTTATTACACCGCCGATTCCCGATGCATTGGAATTTCGACTAGCCTCAACGAAACTAGTATAATGATGGAATGTACGGAATCACAGCGGAGAGGTTAGACGGGCATTGACCGGTGACTAGCGCGCGTCTGTCGTCCCGTCGGATGCTTTCCAGTTTCAAAATCTTGGCACCGTTTACGAGGCCTCCGTAGTGGTCAGCTGCGACGGAAAGCAGTTTGCGTGCGTATATGCGAACCGTGGATTTTTCAACGCGAACATCGAAAAGTGAAAGAACGATTCGGTGAAGCATTCGTTTGGCATGCCGTACGCGGTGCAGCCGAGGATGTCGAGCGACGAGTACGTGCACGGCAGCTGCAAGATTCCGAGTATCGGTGAGCGCGCGTGGCCAGGAAGAAGGACTGAAAGAACGTGGTGGGTTTCGGCGTGATCGTTTCCGTTTACGGAGGATGCGGCAGGACCTCGAGGTACCTCCACGTAGGCGTGCTACCTGGGTTCCAGTGATGTCGGTGTCGGGGTTACCTGCAGCGCTGCTGGACCTGGACCATGGCCGGCAAGCCTGAGCAGCCGTCCACGCACCCTGTTCCCCCAAGCCACAGTCATCATCATCACCATCATCAACAACATCAGCATCATCTCCAACAACAACAACAGCAACAGCAGCAGCAGCAAGAGCAGCAGCAACAACAACAACAACAACAACAGCAGCAGCAGCAGCAGCAGCAACGTCCTCAGCAGGGGATCCAAGAGAATAGCGTTCTAGTGTACGTGTCGGGGGATAATTTTGCATACGCGACGGCGGTGGGTCAGAATGCCGCCGCCGCTGCTGCTGCTGCTGCTACCGCAGTCGGCTATCAATCTCCGCAGCAGGCGACGTACACCGGCATCCTGCCGCCTCAGGTGGCGACGGCGGCGGCGACGTTTCCCGCCAAAACCGCCATATATTGCAACGATAACGCGATCGGTAGCACGGCTAACTGTTGCCGATTGAAGCCGGTCGAGTACGCGTCCACCGATGGAGACTCGGGCCGAACGGTGCGAACCTTGTCCACGGGCACCGTGGAAGACGTGGAAGAAGATTACGGTACGATCGTCTCGAGCAACGGTTTGCTCTACAGGCAAGCAAATTTCGTTCAAGCAACGAGCACGTCTGCGACCACGACGATGACTTGTGTAGTATCGACGTGCGACAACAAGAACCCACCGAATCGTGGTCCGTTGGAAAACGATATCGGCAACACCACCGAGAACCTCGCGTCGAACGTTGAGCCGATCAACAGGGTGAACGGTAACGAAATGGTGGCCAACAAATTGTTTCCATCGAGAATTCACACCGAGATGTATCCAACAGGAGCAAGGCTGGTGGACGGTTATAACGATAACGGTAGGATCGCGCAGGGGAATCTCGGCGAGGGCTGCGTGGGGCTTCTGAGCGACGAGACGGGTTGTGTTACTTATGTGAGACAGGGAAACGAAACGTCGCAAACGTCCGCGAGCGTTTTTCAAGCGGACAGTGTCGAGCAACGCATCGACATGGACGAGAAGAGCCGGCAGCAGGACGCTTTCCAGAATCAGGCCGGCTCGTCGCTTTCTTCGTCCTCTTCGAGCATCGGTGGCAGCGGTGGCGGTAGTGTTGTTGTTGTTGTTGGTAATGGTGGTGGAAGTGGTGCGGTTAGCTGTGACTCGGTTCGTTCCGATACTGGTGAATCGTCGACGTATAGTAGTCTCAGCAGTCCCGAGAGTCAAAGTCAATCGGCATCGCACGACGGTTTGTCCGTCGGTCCGACGGCTACCGGTGGCGGTTCATGCGCGCAGCAGGCTGCGCGTCAGCCGTCGTTGTCGTGCATCAACAACTCTAACAGTAATGACAATACTGGCCAACAAAATGTAGTGCTTACGATGAACGGTAGTGGGGTGGTTACGCAGCAGCAGCAGCAGCATCAACATCAACAAGCGATTACAGTGCCACGTGGATGGAAAAGGATATGCACCAACGGGGTCATCATTTACATCAGGTCAGTCCCTCTTTTACCTTTACTCTTACGTATATCAACACTTTACCAACCGGTAGCCTATTAATCATTTTGCTAAGAATACTTTATTATCTATTATTTAGATAATATATAATGCTCTCATCATTGTAGGAATTATGAAATATTATATAAATATTAATCAGAAAACGTTTCTAATAGAGAAAATAAATATAGTATAGTACTAATGGTATCAAAATAAGAAATATCGTTGAATTTTATTATACATCCAATCACTACCCGTCGGTAAAGTGTTAACACTAATAGTAAGGCTTAATTAAATGCAAATGAAAATAAATTATATCGATAGAAAGAATTGCAAATATTCGAAACAAACACCAAATTGAACAGTCTCAAAAACAAGCATCAACTTATTTTGAACGTTTCGACTCTTAGATTTCAATCTTGAGTATTTGTAAGTGTTATATTATATACAATTCTTTTTTAATTTACAAAATCACTTGGTATTATCTAAAGCAAAACCACGATAGGAAAACGAATCTTTTGGAATGAAATTGATAAGGGGTTATACTTTTGTTTAGATTTAAACAAAATTAATTTTTTAATCTCTGTTTATAAGTGATACATTACATAGATTAAGGATGCTTACAGGTGATCGTTTAAAAACACTATATATATTAGGTGTACCGGAAAGTAATGTCGTTTGTGCAATTTTAAATACTTGTTTATCACTCATCAGCTTATTGATTTTTATCGATATGGCATTGAAAATTTGCACACTAAATGGGAAAAGGCTGTTGATAACAAAGGCGATTACGTAATTGATTAAAAATAGAAATTTATTAAAAATTTGTTCGAATTTAATGTAAAAGAAACGACATTACTTTCCAGTCTGCCTAATAAAACATAACACAACAGTTTACTTCTGCCTAGTAATTAATGTAGTATTTATTTATAGTATAAATATCTATTTATGAATAAGAAATCCATATTAACTATCAACGTTATTTACTCGTTTACTAATTAATAGTCAATGTCAAATTGAAAGGATTCCAATGTATTTGAAACTACGTCGAATTAAAATTCTCTCCGGCGCATTTACCGCGATGATCAAAAAGATGAACGAAACGATTTGCGGGCAAACAGTTTTCCAGTTCCGTGTTACTCGGGGATCGGCTTCCGAAGGGTTTATCTTGGTGGTTTGTGGGTTAGTAGCATCGATCCGCAGTTAAATGTTCTTGCTAGAACTTTAATTTCGCTAATGGAATTAAACTGCGTCCAGTCGGCGCAAATAAGATTAACGAAGCGACTGGTAAATTAGGATAAAACCTCGGAGACTGCGAGCGGTACGCTATGCTGTGTCGCGAGATTTGTTGGGAAATCATTATTCAAAAATTACTTGCTATATTCGTTTCGATAACAAAGCTCGGGGGCGTAACAAATGCCGTGAGGGTTTCATCACCTAAGCAGAGACACTCGGCTGTTCTCGGAGATCTTAAAAAGGTTTTGTCCCCTTCCGTCTTTCCCGACGTTCAAGTAAAAAACATTTTCTGGGAGCTAGGGCCCCCCTCCGTTAAACACCCCCTCCGCCCTTCCCACTTTTGCCTGTCGTCATCCAGCACGTGGAAAGCGAAGGCATCTTCCTTCTAACCCCTCATTGTACTTTTATGGCTCTTTTCAAAGTCCGTTCGAGGGTCACTTTCATCTTTTCTGCCGCGCCTTTTTCACGGGCTGTCTTTGCCAAGATGCCACGCATCCTCCGTTGCCTTCAGCTGCGTTGTCCTCGTGTTTACAAGGGATCGTTTGTCTTCTCTCTGCGCGGAGAGAGTGTAAAAATTGAATCGATCAGATTCCCAGACAAGAATCGCGAGAGGTATGCGCACCCGATTTAGACGCCAACCGTAGGCGTCGAGACTTTGAATTTATTTCTTGTCCGAATAGGATCAAATTTTTTCTGCTAGTAAAAAAACATGGATTAATAATTATTTTTACTTGTTTCGAAGCCCCTTTTAATTTTTTCTGCTGGGACATAGGTGTCCCAATAATTGTTTCAATAGTTATTCAGTTGATCAATATTTCATTTCAACGATACAAATACAACAAACTGCACTCGATTTCCAATTATTCGGTTCGTGAATGCAGATGTATTAAAATACTTATTTTACTCAAAAATGTTCTCATTTAGGATCTGTATAAATAGAGTATTAATTTGCTCAGACTCCAAGCAGTAGTATTTCTTATATTGTCACATGACATTTGTGCAAATTAATGTATACTTAAAATCAATATATATTCAATTAATTATTGATATATTCCTACTTGAAATTAGTGAAGACAAAATTTCTTGCGAAAATCCTTGCAAATGAAATATTAATCTGATGGATCAAGATCTGTATTAGTTTGCTCAAGCGTCGAGAAACGCTATTTCTCTGATATACTTGAAAAGTCCGAAGGAAAGATTTCCGTCGTACATCCATCTTTGTTCGAACGAGGGGATTTGAGATCTTGAGGTGCTGGGAGTCGCAAAGGGCAACGCCTCATGGCGTAATCGTGCCGTGGCAGAAGAGGTCCGACCTGGCCTGTCCCAAAGCTTGTTAAAACGATCCTTCACGGGCTGACAAGAATCACGGTTTAAATGACGTTTAAAGGGCCCCGACAAACAAAGCTTCGCTGCCTACAACGCCGACCGACCGCGTGCCCCCATGAGCCATCGCCTTTTCGCTGGAATATATCCACCCAAGCACATGGTCACTCTCTTTCATTCTCCAAGTTCAGTCGAGTGCCTCTGCTCGGCCGTTTATGTTCAACAAATGTTGCGCACGGAAAGAAATTTGTCTGTTTCCAGCGTGGGAGAAAAGAGCCGAAAGTCCGACCATATGTTTGGGGGGAAAAGTCACGTGCAAGCATCCTCTACAAGCCGTGTAACAAGTTAGGAAAAAATAAAACTGCAAAAAAATTCGTCGCACAAGCGAACGTGGGGTAGTCTGGGCTGATATAATTAGGTTTAAAATGTGACTCGAATGAATGAAGATAGACATACCAATTGTTACATCTCTTCTCTCGAATTTTTCCAAATAGAATTGAACAAATGCAGAGTTTTATCTCCATTTTAATTTCCCTCCCTTTTCTTTTATTATACACTGTTTAGAAAACAGTATTTCATGTTTCCCCTTGTCTTCCAAGTTTGTCCAACAGATTTCATAGGCCAGTATGCAAAGCTTTTACGCAACAGTGGCCACGCCACCCTGAATTTCCTTATTTTGAAATTCCGATACCGCGGGGACAAACAGCTTTCTTGGTACGGAGATAAATCATCGATATATCTGGCGTGCAAGGATTCCTTGAAAGATTCTTAGGCCTCAACATCCTCTATCAAGGGCGATGTATGGCAGGACAGATTCTCACATCGGTTCGTGTACAGGAAGCGGTGGAATGGTCGGAAGGAAGGGTAGAGGGGGCACATACGAAGGGAAAAGGAATTTCGTTGAACCGCGCTGTTCGTGCGATCATTGATTTACGATGGTACGTCGTAAATACAATCGGTGATGTACGATCATGCCTCCTCTCCTCCCTTATTCCCTCACCCCTACTTATCTTCTCCTGTCTTCCCTCGCAAGTTTCTTCTTCGCTCTTCTTTCGCCGTCGCCACCGACGTTCCCTTTACGGACCTCTTCTTGATTTATAATACCTACAGGCCTCTGTTGTCTTTCTTCGTTTTCTCGTCTCTTACATACCTCCTAGGTGTCCGGACCTCGTTCCCCTAACCTTCTCCCTTCAGTCGTCCGACCGTGGTTATACCTTCTATCAGACGAGGGTTCACCTTTGACGTTCTTCCTTTCGTCTGCTCGTTTTCTCCTATTTTTTGCTGTTCGTTCGAGTTCCGTCTGCCACCCACTACTTGCAACAAAATTTGTAATGTAGTGGGACAGTATTTCTCAATCTTTCTTTGGATCATGCTTCGAAGATTTCAATTACCCCACTGGCACGATAATCTACTCCGTTTTGAAAACAGTATACGTATTGTTTGATATATTATTTTTGTTGAAATAATTATATTATTATTATTATTATTAGTGATAATATATACATTAAATAAATTAGAATTTTAGAATGAAAAGTTATCTTTTCGTCTCTTGTATCAGGGTTTATTAAAATATAATTAATTAAATTCATTATCTCGAAAATACGAGAGAGTATTATTTTTTTACCCGATTATATCATTATAAATATTTTATTGAAAGTGAAAGGTTAATTGATATTATTGATATCTAATTAGTTTTTAAATGGATTTAATTTAGGTATTTCTGAATGGAATTGATTATAATATTAATTATTTACACTTCTATTTAACTTAGAACATTTCAAATTTGGAAAATTCCTCAAGCAAAAACTTGTAAATTCATACTTTGATTTCCTATTCGTTCCTCTATGCAAAACCCAGCATTCCCGGCGCTGCGAGTTTGCAAATGCAAAAATTCATCTCTCGGTCCTGAAAGGTGTACTCAAAGTTGGACTATTAAATGTTCTTCGTCTCGGATCCGCGCTAAATCCGTGGCAAACAAATTAACGCGACGCCGAGCAAGGAATTAATGGCTGGGAAATATTCATCTGCACATTCTTAGGATTACTCGAAGATGTTCGTAATTACAGTTTCATTCTGAAATTTTCGTCGGAAGGATATTTCATCGAGCTTCCACGTTGCGTTAATATTTGACCCGTCTGTCGGACGTTTCGGCGCGTTTATTTTTAATGCAAATCTATTTAAATTGGCGCCGTCGCGTCGCCAGCTGCGAGATTCATAGATACTTGGATTTGCAATTATTCCTGCAGTGCGGAGCACTTTGAATATTCATTTGAATACTTAGTTTGCACGCTGCCGGTGTTAAATTCCACCATGAAATTTGTAATTGTGCCGGGGTAGCAGGACAGTCCTATGCGCGGCTTCCATTTCAACTTCTCGAATGCGTTTAACTGTTATACTCACATCTGTTTCTATTTTTTTTTTTTCGTTTTCTGTCTAATAA